GGGGGTGCGGCGGGGATGAAGCAGGAGGGGAGGGGGCAGTGCACAAGAATGACATAGCCTGATTAGAACCAAATGGGTCCAAGATGGTGGACAAGTCGCCTTCCACTAGACCTTGAGCCTCAGTACACGCTTACTGTAACACGTGAGTAAGCTAAATGACACACCCACAGGCACCACGACAGTTCCAAAGCCAAACCGTAAGTATCAAAAAGTGGGCGGTGGCCCAATTCCTGGAAATCCCCGCCTCTTCCTAAAATAGCTGGAATATTCCTCCCACTCATTAGCCTATGAAATTACGCACCCCCATAAAAACTGACAACACCATACCCTGGGGCCTTTCTCACCTTCTGAGGAGTGTGTTTCTCTATAAATAAATCCACTTCTTACCTAAAAAAAAGAAATCTGATTAATTTTATGACAGCCCTGTGGGATGGGCACTCTGATCACCCTACTCTGCAGAGGGGATGCTGAGTCTCAGTGGGTTGAGCATGTCACACAACAGTGAGGTGAGGATCTAAACCGAGCCCGGAGCCCTGGCTTGAACTTCCATCCAGGTGTCACTCTGGTCCCTCCAGGAAGATTTCTTTGCTGGTCACCATTAAGCCCTGAGTACTGTTGGTCCCCAGCTCGCACCTTCCCGTCTGTTGTATTCCTTTCCCAGTACAAATCACCCAGTGACAAAGCACCACAAACCAGGCAGCTTAAAACAGACATATAGAGTCTCGATCCTGAGGCTGAAGGTCGTTAAATCAAGGTGTAGGTGGGGTGGGTCCCTCCCAGGGCTGCAGGACAGGACCTGCTCGAGGCCTCCTTCAGCGGACATCGCATGGCCTTCTACCTGTGTGTGAGCTGTGAGCCCCAATTTCCCTCTTAAGAACACCTGTCTTTGGATGTAGGGCCTGCCCAGTCCAGCAAGGCCTCCTCCTAACTTTGCATCCGCAAAGGCCCTATTTCCACACGAGGGCACGTCCACAAATTCCAGCGGACTTGAACTCTGGCGGGGTACCAGTCACCCCAGGGGGCGGCTGTCCATGGAGGGTAATCAGGGAACATCACCCCAGGGAAGCCCAGCAATCCTAATACGGGACAGGTGCGTCATTACGCGGAGCGCGGAGGGACCTGAGACCTGAGGCTGAGTGAAAGGAGCAGTGAGCTCAGGATCAAGCTTCCCGTGAGCAACACGCAGCAACACACCGCGTGGCTCCCATGGCTTCACCCGCGCTCCACCCGCACACGCGTCCGCAAGGATCCACCCCCATCCCTACTCCTACCCCGTACGCGCGATTACTACTGTGGAACGTCATTAGGAGCCTTCTTTACCATAATCTCTAAAGTTTTCGTTTTTAAACGAGAATGTATTTGTGCTCATTCGGAAGTTACAGTTTACAGCCTCTTAAAAGCATGCACCGTTTGCAGCCTTGCGGCTCCCTGCGCTGCCGCCCTCCCGCCAGCAGGGGGAGCCGCCCCGCGCACTGCGCCGCCCTCCGCCCGGAAGTCTGGCCCAGACCGGAAGTCGCGCGTCGGCGCGTCCTGGAAAGTAGCGGCGTCTACGAGAGCTGCGGACCAGGTCCCGAGCGGCTGCCGGGGTCACATGGCCCGCGGGAAGCGCCGAGCCGGGCGCGGGCCGCGCCGCGGGCCTGGGGGCGGCGGGGAGGGGGCCCTGAAGCGGCTAAAGCTAGCAGTGGAGGAGTTCGTGCAGGCGACCTCGGAGGGCGAGACCCCCGGCGGCCGTGAGGGGCCCCGGGCTCAGGGACGCGTGCGCCAGGGCGGGAGGAAAAGCCGCAGGGAGCTGAGGAAGGAGAAGCGGCACCTGAGGAAGGCGCGCCGGCTCCAGAGGACGGCCGGCCCCGCGCAGGGCCCGGGCCCGGGCGGCGGCGGAGCCGGGGGAGCGAGCGGCCCCCGGGCGGAGGCGACGCAGGAGGAGGACGGCCAGCCGTCCCCACGGCGGGCCTCGCGGCCGTCCGACGGGCTGCGACCTCCCCCCGTTCCGGCCAAGGCCGGCCAGGCCCAGGCCAGGGGTTCCCTCGGCAGGACCAAGGCCCCCGCAGCCGCCACCGCTGCCCGCAAACGGGCACTTCTGGCGGCCAACGAGGAGGAGGACCGAGAGATCCGAAAGCTGGAGCGGTGCCTCGGCTTGAACAAGCGCAGAAAGAAGGGCGACGGAAGCTCCGTGCCTCTTAGCTTTGCCCGCGATGGGCTCGACTACATCCTGGGAGCCCTGGACTCTGGGAAGAGTAGTGGCTGGTATGAAAGCAGCAGTGAGGAGGAGGAGGAGGATGCGGGACAGGCACTCCCCGAAGGTGACAGCGAGGACGAACGGGAGCAGCAGGATGTGGAAGACGAGGGCGAGCGGGAAGCAGACGCGGGAGCGCAGAGCGAGGAGGAGGACCCGCAGGTGGCGGGGGCGGGACAGCTGGAAGCCGGAGGAGCGGACCGGAGGGCGAAGGAGGGAGGGAGGAAGAAGAGAGTCCGTTTTGCCGAAGATGAAGACAGAAGTGAAAGTTCCGCGGAGGATGTTGATGCAGACGATAAGGTATTAGATTGTGAACAATCTGAGCCCTCTGGGATTTCCTTCAAAATAACGGGTGGGGGCAGAGCACGGGACAGAAGTAACACAGTTGATGTATTGATAATTGTTTGAGCTGAGTATGGGTCTGTCGGGTTATTTAAATTTCCACAATAAAGAGACAGGGAGAAAACATCCCTAGAGACCTTTCTATCCCAGGGACTTACCGGCTGTTCCCACCGTTGTCCTAAGGCCACATCCTCACTCGGTTTACTGCCTCAGTCTCCAAACCTGACTTTGACTCCCCTCCCCCAAGCTTTGTTCCCACCTCCCGTGTACCCTGGGGACTCCTGCAACACCCCTGAGTCACCTCTGCCCACACCTAGTCCTTTTTCTGTACAGCTGCTCCTGGGGTGGATCCTTCTAAAACACGGAGCTGATCTCCGAGACTCCCTTGGATAAAGTCTCGCAGTGGCGACCAGGTTTAGAACCCACAGCAGAGCAGACAAGGCCTCAGGCGCCGGCCCCTTGCCTGTTAAAACAGCTTCACCTGCACACGTACCTTGAAGGCGGCCTTATGGCGTTGCTTATGTTTCCTTCTCCACTTCTCACTATGTCACCCTTCTGCCTCTGAGTGTATTATTTCTTCTGTCTGCAAGGCCTTTCCTCGATTTCTCACTGTTTGTGTTTATCTGTTAAGGTCAAACATCTTGGGGAATCTTTTCCCCTCCTGAAGATATGAAGTGTCTTTCATTTCTGTCCTCGGTGCCTTAGCACCTGGCACTCCGTGAGCAGTGCCCAAGTGCTATCAGTTCCTCTCTTAGCACTTTAAGTTTTGACTATTCCCAAGTCTCTTTCACAGCCTGTGGAGGTGTAACTGACATACTAACGGGTGTCTTAAGATTAAGTTTCTGTGTATGAAAATGTGCTTTCTCCAGCTAAGCTTAAAGTCTGACAGCAAGGATCACGCCTTACAAAGGTCTGTCTCCTAAACCCTTGTCAGGGAGTGTTGGTCAGTGGTAATGACTTGTAATCCTCTCAGTTGAAAATCTAGGAAATAGTGAGCAGTGGGTTGATTTTGATTTTATCATGTAAATTTAGATATTGGTTTTGACAGGTTTGAAATTACTTTGGACCTCTTTTTCTCCAAAACTGGTGATGCACTTAATTTAGGTGTTTGTGTGCTGCCGTGCCTACTGTGAACTGAAGCTGGCAGAAGTGTAGAATACAGGGCTCTGTCGGGTAGACAAGGGGGGTGGGGGGCGCAGCCAAGTCTGAAGAGTTACAGAGGGAAAAGTAAGGTGATGAAATGTAGTGTTGATGTTAATGTAAATAATGATGTCCATCGTCCGGGCCATGGCGTGCTTGTCCAGGTCTAGAGTGGGCACTCGGGAAATAGCTGATGTTCATGAAGCAGCAGTAGTCAGTAGTGACAGCCTCTCCCAGTTCTTGGGAATTTAATATCTAAGTGTGAGTGTAGCAAGGGGAAAGGTGGGGTGTAGTCAATGTACATTTTTTTGTAATTTATTTCTGTCCTTTCAAGCAGAGTCTTTGTGAAAATGGTGGAAAGTACATCCCACCCCACGTGAGGCGAGAAGAGGAGACAGTGGATGCCCAGAAAAAGGAAGAACTAGAGAGGCTCAAGAAACAGGTCAAAGGTCTGATTAACAGGTAACCTGGAGACAGTGTATTGTGTCACTTCAAGAGATTGTCTCTTTTCTAAAAACACAGGAATGGTTCTGGGAATTAAACCAAAGCCTGCGTTGCCTTTTTTTTTTTTTTTTTTTTTTTAATTTCTTTTTAGTTAAAACACTCTTCTTGGTGCATCCTGGAATTTTACTGAACATGCCATTTGATGTTCAGAGTTAGCACAGCTGCAGTGCATATACATCCTTCCATCCCCACCCAGTAGAGCCCTTATCTCCATGTTAGGAAATAAAAGCTTACTGTGCCAGCAGAAAATGGAAAAGTTGGGATTTTTTTCCAACAGTACATACGGATGTGCTAACGATGGTTCCCTCCCTCTGCCCAGGGAGATCGGGTAAGGATATCAGTGGAGTATCCTCATCACAGTCTCTGTGGTCTTGAAGGGAATCCTGCATGTGCCTTACTGTGGCCGCATTTCAGCTGGAAGGACAGCAGTTAATGTTATTTGAAGATTCCAGAAGATTCTGTGTTATGTACATATATACTGGATTATTGGGACAGGATTAGAATTGTTCGTGGGTCAAATACATACACAAAAGAGGATCTGGGGCTTTCCTGGTGGCGCAGTGGTTGAGAGTCCGCCTGCCGATGCAGGGAACACGGGTTCGTGCCCCGGTCCGCTAAGATCCCACATGCCGCGGAGCGGCTGGGCCCGTGAGCCATGGCCGCTGAGCCTGTGCGTCCGGAACCTGTGCTCCTGTGCTCCGCAACGGGAGAGGCCACAACAGTGAGAGGCCCGCGTACCACCAAAAAAAAAAGAAAAAAAAGGTCAAAA